TAGCTTATTCTCTTCGTCCCTTAGCCGGAGAGCCAGACCGAGGAAAACTGGAATGACACTCCTGGACCCCTTTTGCCACCCCTCCAGCCGATATTTAACTCTAGCAGGACTCTCTCTCTCTCTCTCTTTCTTTCTGACTCTGTTTTTTTCTTTCTCTCTCGAGCAAGAGACTTGTACAGCCTACCCGTGTCGCCGAGCCGAAAAAATCCTCGCGGAGACGCGTGCTGGTCAAATTAAACGCGTGCAGTATATGCGTGTATATAGTAGACGCGTGTATATACGTACGCTTGGGTGATTGCATGTAGCCGACAGACTACACGCGGGAGTATGCGCGGCCGGACTCGTCGCCGCGCTGTTCACATTTCCTCTTTGTTCGCGATCTCTTTCTCTCGGTCCGCGTCGCTTTTTTCCACGCGTCTTCCAACCCCTCTTTTCCAGACTCTCTTTCTCGTTTTCCTTTTCGACGTTAACCTGTTCTACCACCCTCCACCCTCCCACCCTCCCTCCCTCCCTCCCTCTTCTTTTCATTCTGTCGTCTTACTTGCTTTTGCTCGTTCGCATTTGTTTTATTCGTTTTCTCTTTCTCTCTCTCCCTCTTGTTCCTTGCCCACTTCGGGTTCGCTCCAACCTCTATTTTTATTGTCATAACCAATTTAATTAAGTTTCGCGTTTCGACGTCATACTCTCTCTTTCTCTCTCTCGCGGCTGTGTTAAACATTTTAATTAAGAGCCCCGGCCATTTACGCCGCCACCGTTCCCCAGTTCGTTCTGAACTGTTCCCGCTGCTAAATCATCGCAACCCTTACCGATTCGCCTGACGATCATCTTTGTCAGGTCGATAGACACGCTCGCGAATGGGCACGAAGTGAAGATTATCGATGACAAGAAGTGAAAGAAGTTATACATACAGGTGATTAATCCTTTCAGGACTCTTGGAACATGTCCCGATTTTTATACTTTCATTTGTTTTCACAAATTTGTCTCAATTTTGTACAATATGTAATATATAAATTCAAAGAAGGTCTAATATATAAATACGTACAATATAAAAACGTGTAACATATAATTCAAATATATAACATATGAATTCAAATACATATACACACGATTTTGGACAAAATTTTAAAGTTACTCAACAGAACAATACACCATGGACGATGTCTGCAAACGAACCTACATACAATCTGCAACCTGCGTAGCAGGAATTTTTCTTTAATATTTCTCAGCCAGACACGTGCTTTCCCTATTATCGTGCAAGTGTCGATGCACGAAAATCTTCGAGGGACCGATATTCTCCGTGACGTGGCGTGGCTCTACGGGGACCCATATCGTAGACGACGTCGACTCTCCTTAACCGCGAAACCACGGCACGATGGCGTGTACCTCTAAACCACCGTCCCGTAGTTTCGTTGATCACAGAATCAACACCTCCCTTCCACTATAACCACCCTGGTTGTCGGCGTCGTCGAGCATCCACCCCCTTGACACCCTATCTGCGCAACGGACCGAGAATCCTGTCGCTCCGCTGCGAAACCGTTTCCTCATTAATTCGTAAAATCATCGAACGACTCCTTCCGTGTCGATGAGTCGATCGACGAGGGGAGTACGCGTCCCTGCGGTCGTGTAAAACGTATTACGCGACGATAATTTGACGCCTGAGAAAAATGTTGCAGACTCTTTGAAGATTTTCTCGTTGCGATTGAGGACCACATGTTAACACGTTGCGTCGAGTAATTATCACATGTGGAAATTAATTCAACAATACGTTGCGGATTGTCGAACGAAACAATGTATTCTTCTTGATTTTTAATTAAACGCGTGTTTGGTAATGATAGGTGGTTTTGATAGTGATGTAGGTTTATCTGAGGACATCTCGAGATAAAATAATGAGGATTGGAATTTTCGAAGGGTACAGAAATAATATCTAGAAAGAAATTTGTTTCATCTTTTAAATATTGTGATGAATATACTAGTTGCAACATTTTATGTGTTTCTATGTAATGTATTATATGCATTTTCGCGGCTTCGAATTTTTCGTAATCGTTGTCTTTTTTTATTTTTAGAGGGACGAGGAAACTCTTATTAGTTCTTTATGCTAATTCTAGTTTTTAAATCTTACGCAGACAATTTTTACTTTTTCATATGATTTCGTTCGTGATTTCTAAAATTAACAATCTTCAAAAATGCTTCGTGCTAAAACTAAAACTATTTTTATTAGTGAAACATTTTCCACCTCCGAGTGCTGCACTTGTTTCGAGCACACGCGCCTCAGGCGAAAATTACCAATTTAAATGAGTCTAAAATTTTAAGCCGACCTATTGAATGTCTGTAGACAATGAGAAGACACATGTCGATTCTCTTTCAGATAGCAGTGATGAATATTCGTTTAGTGGCAGTGACGGTATCGTCAAACGTGATATTGCTATTATTCAATGAAATTGAATTATGAGAATAAATAATTAAAAAATGTATTATTGTCATATAATTGAAACAAAATTCCTTGTAGAAAGTCAAAGTTATAAATTCCATTCAATTGTGAAAGATGAAAAAATTTTTTAAAGTAACATCGTGCTATACTGTCGGTGATTGTCGAAAATTGTATTATAATAACTTCAAATATTATAAAAGTATTACATTAAGCTTTGTAGCCATTAAAAATTATGTTATAGCAAGTTGAAATATCATACAAATATTATATATTTATTGTAATCATTGAAAAGTGTATTATAATGACCTTAAATATTATAAAATACATAACAAAAGTATTATAATAAATTCGTGGCCATCGAAAAGTGTGTTGTTGCAATTAATTTAAATATTCTAACAGTATTGCGATAAACTTAAATACTACAAAAATATTACTATAAAAATCAAATGTAATAAAATTATACAATCAGTTTATATTTAACACTGACTACTACTTTCTTATGTTTTACAAATTCATACTCATCGGTATATTTATACATAACAAAATCCTTAGTGAAAGTTACTCCCGAAAGTAACCGGTTGTTACAATCGTTAACGAAAACGAAGCTCGAGGTAACGAATCTCTCTCTCTCTCTCTCTCTCTCTCTCCTTTTATGGTTGAGAAACGTAGAAACGATAAGAGAAGGCGAGCTTGTCGGCGAACGACGAGAATCGTAACGATTTTCCGCGGGATCGTAAACGAAGGGACCGCAATCGTTCGAGAATTTTTCCCGGCGCGTCGCGAGGAAAACGGTAGCGCGACAAATCCCAAGTTTTACGCGCTCGTTTATTGCGCCCGTTCGAATGTTACGTATGAATTATTTAACGCGTTGTCCATTAATTACCAGCACGGTCCGATAGCCCCCGCGCTGACAGTCTCGAATAATCCATGGATTTTATGGAAGCACGGCCAGGTTTCACGGCGTACCCGGGCCATTTTGGCTATGAACGATTAAACGATAAGAGGAGAGAGCAAGGAACGAAATATTCTTTATTAAAGGAAAAAAAAAAAGATATAA